GGTATGTTTTTTATTGATGGCCCAGGCGGAATAGGAAAAACATATTTATAGAAAGCATTGCTCTCAGCTGTAAGGTCAATATTGTCTTGATAATTCCCAAAATGTGTACTTGTATCTTCAATCCTTTCCTCCTTGTATATTCATAGCTCAGACAATTACATTTCTCATAGAGCTTTGCTCCTCTGTAGATTTCTTGTTAGTGTGCTGATATTTATTTCAGGTATTTTACTTTGCGATAATTTAGGTACTTTTTTTCCCCTTTGAATATCTCTCGTAGATTCCTTCATCGCATCCTCCCTTACCATTTCCATGCACATCTTTTGAAGGTCTTTCATACAAAGTGAGATCTATTTCTCTATGCAATTTCATTTTGTTCTTAAGAAGATATAACTCCTGAAATGTTCGTTCAAATTCTCGAAGTACTGTGGTCTTTAGTATTACATGTTATAGATGGCCTTATTGCTGATAGCAGAGCAATGTTACTTGTAACCTTATGCAAATAGTGCATAAAGGCAACCAGTTGATTCTTTCTGGATTCGTCATTACTGTTCAGAGGTACTCAAAATAGTTGAAGTATTACATTCATCTATTGCATTTGTTCACATTTATCTTTATTTCTCATTTAAAATAAATCATTCATATGCATTATCTATCGATTCTATGCTTCACCAATCCCATTTTATGGATCCAATTTAAAACATTCCATATGTTAGAAATTGATAGTCTGTACTCGAATATTTCAACTATGGTACTTTACATTATTACGCTTACCGGTACTTTTCTTCAACAGGTTGTTGACACAAACATTATCAACTTCATACGTACAGAAATAGAAGATGACAATATTTTTTATATAAAAGCTGTACAAAAAGAGCCAAATTCAACGGGGTCCAGCATATCCCATTGGTTCATCCCCACAGGTGTGATTTGTTTGACGATGGCTATATTTTGTCTATAACTAATATTAAATTCATCCATATTACTTTAAGCAAGTTTTAAATGTTAACATTGTAGTATGTTTTGACATATTATTTGTAAGAAAGCTCATTTTCTTCACTTTTTTTTGTTATTGGCATTTTAAATATTGACAGTTTAAATAGTGTAATTTAAAGGTTATTGTTCGATTCGAATTCTAACTGTTATCGTGCAACGCACGATGCACACTAGTATAGAAATAAAGATGTTCAAATCCATACAATAATAATTTTAATTTCAAATAGGAGTTTTAAATAAAATTGAAGTGGGAGTTTTAATTAGAGTCGAAGTCCAAGTCCAATTAGTTTATATTAAATTACATATGTAGTCATAGAACTTCAATTACAATTATAATTAAATTTACAACTTTCACAATAATTATAATTAAGTACAAAACTTTATTATAATTACAATTAAGTCCAAAGTTATTATAATTATCATAATTAATTCTTAATGCTTTATAGAGCTACCACATGGACCTGATCGGACATATATTATCCAAGGTCCAACAATTAGACCTTATCTAATCGGCCCTAAACCACCCAATCTAATTATTAGTCTTTACTTTTTCAGTAAAGACAAAAGATTATATTCTTGGAATATATAAAATCACATAAGCCAATAAATCTGTAATACTTTCATCTGACCTGTCGTATATGTATTTTATCTCCATTCGAAATTCGATAATTAGGTATGAGCATAAATGACTGTTTTGCCCTTCTAATTATTTTTTCACTAACTTAAGTACCATTTTTTTCAACGGTCCTGTGAATAAATCATAGATGTCAAAGTTTAGCTGTCGCTAAATAATGAGCTCATATTTTAACCGTTCAATAAAAAATACTTAAATAGTCACTCGTCCACTTTTCAGGACGACGGTTCCCAATACAATTTCATATTTTCTACTTCACTCATTCTTAAGTTTCCAACTCACCAAGATATTTGATCAATCAAATTGATCTCACCCATTGGTGAATCAAAAAATCATTAAAATTACGAAAATATATACATAACTTTGTCAAGAGATTTTGATGAAATATACATCAATCAAGTGGGATTTAATTCTCCTCACGATCATGCTATAAATTAAATTCGACACATGGTCTGGTCAATACACTACAAGTGTACTAGTATCACTTTTAACTATTTATGTGATAAGGACAAATCACAAACTCAAATAGTGAATCAGTCAACACTATGACCTTCCAGTACAAGGTGCTAACCCTTATATGTTGGTTGTAAACAAATTATTTATGATCAAAATATAAATTGTGTCATACTGTACTTTTCAATGCAAGTACTCATCTTATATTATCACAAGTGATCATAGACATTGTAATTTGCTAGGTCGATAATAAATAAATACAATAATTAAAATAAAAGCAATTTTATTTAATATGAAATATTTTTATTTTTATATCAGCAAAACTATACTAGATGATTACACAACCCAACATACATAACAAAATAATTCATCCTTTTCGTCTCATTAACCCATCAAACGTGACTAAGTTTAGTTGATAATTGCCCTCCAATATTATTAAAAATATGTTAACTAATTGCGATGACTCTTGAATTAATTCAATTTGTCCACGTTCAATTGTCTTTAACCAATTCAAATATATCCAAATTCATTTGCTTTATAATTGAATCTACAGGGACATTTTTCTTTTCGCATGTAGTGATCATTGTATAACAATGAATGTATGTTAGGCAAATTGTTGTCAAACGACCTCCCGAGCGATGATGAAAGTATTGTTTATTCAGTCATCATCGACCAAATGACTGAATGTATATCGACACCACATTGTCTAAACCAATCATATAACCTATTTGAGTCATTTGAAATAGCCTAATTAAATTAGTGTTGCTCATGGTTCAACCCAAAACTTAGATGGCTTTTTTTCTGATTGATAGCCCACTTACATATTCCCTATTGGGCCTTATTTTTTCTAACCTAAAAGCCCATACCTAATCCCCCTTTATATGTGTTGTCCCATTACTGTTGCAAGTAGCGTGAAAATTGGTTAGCCCCAGTTTGGAGAGAAAATGGCGGAGAAAATAGTGGAAAATACCCGGTTGACCCGACCAATTTTGCAAAATAGCCGTTGA